CAATTAGCCCTATTCTTTTTCTTCTTGCGACTGTTCAGTGAAGGTGATATAGAACTGATAYCCTAGTACAGTCTTATGAAGTCAATTTCAGCTCGARCCATATTTTAGTGTCTTTTRCTGCGGCCTTAACTTCCCTTTGATTCGGAATATCCTAGCCCATCCTATAGTATTTCTTATAATTATTTTACGAACTCACGTGTCGTGGAACAAAGCTTACAGAGATTCACCATCGACCATTTATTTATAGGGACAGGATTAGTTATTTGGATAATTATTTTCATGGATATATCCGTAAGGAATTCAGAAAGCTGAATCTAGTCGCCATTCTAATTTTTAGAGCAACATGGCTGAATRACCATGAYGTTGGTCTTGYAACCTGATGTTCCAGGTTCGAGATACGTTATGATCACTGAACTAAGATGTAGTCAGTGTTTTGATATGATCAAATTCTCTCAGCATCGATCTTCACGTCGGCATCGATAATCGTGCAATGATAAGACCGTTCCTGTGCGTTATACTCTAGTATAGTATAAATRAGTTCCATCCTTCAAGATTTCTACTAAAATGAACTACTTTATTATAGTTTACTACACTTACAACAAACTTGAAAGCCACATTCTCCATCCATCATTCTTTGACACGTGTGCTTGGGATTGTCACAGTTGTAAAGAACAGCTGTCCCACTTGAAGCATCTCCCTCAGGTGGTGGACAACTTCGTGTACATGAATTACCATCACTTCCTATTGTATAGGTACAGCCTGTGAACAAGATAGAAAATGGGCATTTTTTTTTCAAATATCCTTGGCTGTTTTTAACACAAAATTATAGAGAAAAAATCTTATAATGTGTATTGATGGGCTAGTATCAGTCATATTATGATACAGGGATAGGGTTTCCCGTTCACTCATTCGTTCAAAAAATATACACTTACCTTCATCCCATCTCAGTGCTGGGCCCCCCTGAAAGTCCAAAATATTGCCAATAAACAACTTCATAAGCAATGATATAGGAAATATTTAAAATAMGTTCGTTATGAGTACTGAATTTTAAGTTGTATAATTCCAAGAAATATGACTYGTTTTTGATTGGCTAACGAACACCAATCACAATTCTCCATGACGTCCTGAAATCAATGAACGGCAAATGTACTGACAATGTCGACAATTCCTAGAAAGAATGAAGTCTCGATGAAGCTCAAATTAAACAAACAATTCGTAAACAAATATAAAATGTGGTTTTAGTATTAATAAAGTAAAATACACATTTAATTAAAAACATTGTCCTAAATAAACAGCATTTTTATACTTTAGTGCAATGACACAAAGAAAATAACTCAGTTGAACGCTTTTCATTGTCTTTTAATGGAAATATTCACTTTTTGTAATTAATCGAACTTCTTGTGTGATTGCTAGCAGGTTGTTTTCCCTATACATTAAGAAATTGATATTTTGTGAACTGTTTTTGTTGTGTTTCTCATTTATATCATTTTCGTTTTGTTTAAAATTTCGATTTTCGCGTCAGGATAATTTGATTTGCCTTGATATAATGTTTTTATTTCCTCATTGATGGCTCATAATGTGCACAATCGAACCGAATTCAAATTTCAACGCTTCATTATTGAAGAAGCTAAATAAGCACAAGAAATGCGGAGACAGGAGGAAAGGATTAAAAGGTAAAAGGTAAAAGTTAAGGGACTAGAGTCAAAGAAAATTCTAAACAAAGAATTAATGATCGAAAAAATTGAAGAATAAAAGGCAAAAAAAGCTTTAAACGAAAGAAATGAGAATATGACCAAGAAAGCTTATAAAACGATAGCTAACCTGACATCCAAGAAGGAAGATTATTRACAACACCACGGACAACATTTGGCTCTTGTTTCCATGTATCGCTGGTATCGCACAAGTGTTTGATTCCAGTTAAGTTTGTTAAGCATCGCATTATATACGCAATGGTCATRATCATATCGTCATGGCACTTGGTGACAGCTCGTTATGGATTTGATTTTTGTTGCCTGTTATTTCTAATCTAACGATAATGYGATCCTGACCTTGGGAATAGAAAATAATTATGTCGAATCATTTCATCTGTAATTGTAAAATTTGCATATGTTTCACATCGTTAACGTCATCGTTAACATCRTTAACACGTATCTAAACTGATTAATTCAGTGTTTCATGATTCTGATTATAAGATTACTTCATCTGTAAAAACCATACAAAGATTAAACATCTTTCTTTTGGAGAAAAGACAAAAAAATAMAAAAAATAAATAAAAAAAAAGAAAACTTGAGCTTATCTCTATATATACTCGTAGTAAATCATTTTTTCACTATAATTTTCTTTTGTCCTACTTATGGCAACTTGAACAACACTAATTGCCATAATGTCACTATCAGTATAAACTGAGTATTTTGATTTTGGTAAAAAAGCAGAAAACGCACATAAGAACTACYAAACAATTGTGTATCACATGTATGTTTTCCTTTTGCGCTGAGATACAAATATTTTTCCATTTTTTTAAATGGCAATATGAGGCTAATAGATACGTTAATATCAGTAAGAGATAASCAATTATTAAAACCCTCACCATGCAGGTCAAATAAATATATTAGGCTATAAAATAGATAAATTAGTACTATTAGTACTTTCTATATTTTAACGACGTCGTTTTAGTTTTTTAATTTGCCTGCACACCGAGTGATTAAGAAAATATCAAGAGATACATTAATCGGAGAGCGTTGAAAAGGTCGCTACGATACGACTCCCTTGGCGGTCCTTGGCCGRTGTTGGTTTAAGGAAAAACTACTAGAAACCGAAGATGCCGTTGTTAGAATGAGTTACACTGAGAAATACTAGTAATTCCACTCACTAATATAGCTAAACAAACTGAAAACTTGATCGATACTCAAAAGTGATGTGAAATTGTAATCATTAAAGATTCACAAAACAAGTTTAATCACTCAAAAAATGTGTTTTYGTAGTTTATTGGCTACTTCGTTTCAAACTTTTTGTGGACAGGTTTGTACAAAAAGGCTGATTACTTTCACAAAGTTCAAGCTAAAACTATGCAGGCAGTCCAGAGTTWTGGGGGTAGCTGTCTTGAAAACTAGCGTTTATGCCATATTTAGCAAAACGCACAAAAGTGAAAGTTTAGGGGGTGGTCGTCTTCATGTTGAGCATAGTCAATGTTGTGTGCAGATCTCATCTATGGAGTTTGACTTTGCTGGCGAAGGCTGGCCTCGTGATCGACTAACCCTAGGTCAAAACCCTAGCCACAAGCTCCGAAAAGTAACCCCAGCACAAGTCTAACCCTAGGCCAAATCTCAACCTTAAGGCTTAGACAACAATCCTAACCCTAATCATGTGTTAGCGCCCTAAGGCGTAATTTTAACAAATCGCGCGAAAAAACACTGGTTACATGACGCTCATTTTTGCGAATTAAGTGTTGCACTACAAACAATGAAATAGAAAGCATGTAAAGATTGGTCGCAAAGGAAAGGTTTCCATTTTTTTAAAAGCATGTACAATCAAAAAAGTGCGTAATCTGTAAGAAACGAGCTAAGAAATGTAATTAAATCTTATATCYTGCATCTTATGGTTATCAATCATCAATGAAACTTCGAATGCAAACGACCAATAGAAGATAATCCAGATATTCCAATGATAAATCTCTCTTGTACTACCCAGGGCAATTATTCACCGGTATCTATCATTGTAAGGCGTAATTATCGAGTGCCGAAAGCTATGGATACCTTTCATGTAGGCGATTATATGACTAACAAAGAACAAAATACATGTAAAAAATATGCAACCCAGAGCTAATGGAGGAGTGTGCTGTCTTACATACTTCTACTTATATTTTTGGRGCGGTATTCTTTTTTGCGTTTTTTTTTCCTGCCATGTATCTTAATTATTGTATAATTACAAAGTCGAATTAAAAGATCATTGTAGTTTAAGATCTATATTGCTATCTATTATTTTTATAAATCAGTATTCTTCAGTTTTCTTTCACGGGGTCTATTTGCTAATTTTCACTTTCTGGGAATTAAAATTCGTTCTAATGAAAWCGAGTAGACCGTTTTAATAATATAAAAAGAATTTCAAAAGTGATTGAAGAAGTGATGGTGCTTGTAGATCCAGCTTATAACGTGTGATATTCTAAAATATTCTTTTCCGATTTCCGAAGACTCYGTACAAAGACATTACCTGCAATCATATAAACAGGTGTCAACACGGATTTTCTACTCTGCCACAGGGAACCCAGTTACTTAGCGTTTGCACATCTTGTTGAAATATTACAAAGCTATATTTCATAAGCTTTTTTCATGGGCATCTTTCTTATTTAGTGTCATAGTTTCTCACAGGAACCAATACCATCCAAGAAGGCGACCGTGTTGTTAATAAGGGCTGTACGTTTCGTAGATAATCTTATTTTGACATGATTGAGTAGCTAATACAATCTATTCTACATGACGTCGCGCCTCTAATGTTTTATTTGGTATTTCAATGATTAAATCCGATCAATCCTTTATAATAGTTATCAAAATTAGTGGCAAAGTATCCTAGCTTTCCCGAAAATTAATTTTGACGATGCGGTTCTGTGATCTCATATCAGTGACCCAACAGGTGGCTATTGGTAAAGCAATAATTTCAGAATTAACTTTGATTTCAGAGTTAAATTCAAAAGTGAACCATTTACAACATAGATTTACCTTAAAATATAACGGCAAGGCAGTCATATTAAATGAAGAAATATAATTTACGATAGATTATCAAATAGCATGGAACGTTTGCGAGTTCTGTTGCTAAGGATCGCCATTACGTCACATGACCCAACACAAAAAATATGTCATCTTTGACAAAAAAAGATTGACAATGTTATCAATAAATAAACCCTTTTTTGCAACGCTTGACGAGCACAGGATTGAGGTTTTTCCTTAAACGGACTAATAAAGATTGTATTTAAGGTAAGTTTTAAACATTTCTTAATTTTAAATCATTTGTTTTGTAGAAAAAATGTTTTTATTTATATTTGTCTTGTTGAATCTTTTGTTTTGAGCGACCTGTTATGGTGAGTGGCTAATAAAGTAAAGAATCATAATTTTCAGCTTCATATTTATATAACATTCACATCCAGCTTTATAAACAACGATATTTTCAAAAATATAAGCTTAATTTAATTATTTCATTTGTTTGACAAGAGATTTATTCAAAACAGTGTTCAGGAATGTATTTCAGAATCAGGGTACGGTTGTACGTAGGAATGTTAATAACGCTACCAGTCCACCGAATAAAGTACTTACCACTGCTGGATATTCAAGTCAATCCACAATATATGGATTGGATTAGGATTACTCTTGGTGGATAGATATATCCACGTTTCGTGCAAAAATACTGTCTCAGGTTTTGAATCTACCTTTTCCTAAAAACGTGAAAAATCATTGTTAAATCAGATCAGTACTTTCTCAGAACAGCTTAATTATATAATTTCTTAATACAGATACTTTGAAGAGCAAGGTATTCGTATTATAAGTATTGCATTCAAGTGTTTGCTATGTTAGAAGTACTGAAAAAGTTCATTAACTACTTAAAACGATGTGGTAAAACCGTGACAATCATATTTTGTAAATAAATTACCTGATGTTTCAAAATATTCACCCGGCTTTAGCTGATTTTTTTTTGGCACTTAGATTCCGATAATAGTCCCTCTACTGAAATCTGAAATTTTCGAAAGTAATAAAGTCTCGCAATATAGTTTGAAATAATTAAATATAGAATGCTAAGGCAAGGACATCGATATATGTGATCTAATAATATATAAACGTGCTCCAAGAATTAAACCACAATGACCGCATTGGTATATATTTGGCGTGTTTGTTGCCGTGTGGTTAAGTCTCTGGTAGAACTATGGCGGGCGCATGGGATCTTCTCGTGTATTGTGGGATTAAGGAGAGATTTAAGCTAYCCTCGTGGTCATTATAATAATCATTATTAATTTATTCAGTCAGAGAGACTGATTGTAAAATACTTCGTTTCTTTCAGATARAAGCATGAGGATCATACTGTGCATCGTTGTGGCATTTGCTGCCACAGTTTATACGTCAGAAGGTTAGTAAAAATCTCTTATTTTTTTTCAAAATATATAAATACTCCCATGTACCTCATTCATTTTCCCCTGTCTTTACAATAATTCAGTTATTTCTGTACTTTGCGGTCCTCATAGAAGAATCATCCATCTCATTAATCAATTTTCTCTAATTTTGATTTCAGTTTCGRATGGATATAGATATTTAAGAGGAAGACGTAAGTATCATAAAACAAARAAAAAGTCAACCAGAATAAATAAAAATCAAACTGAGATCGTTAGGGATAATTGTGAACTCTTTTTAATTCTGCKCAGTTCCCTTTCGATTTTTTGTTAAATGAAAAATCATAAGTTTTGGAATTCTGACTCAAATTGACGAGGTATCAGTTTTAATTCTTATCATTTTTATGCAGGAAGCACCTGTGGACGTAAATGTGCAGCAAAATGTGCACCTGCATGCAAAAGACAGTGCTGTAGTTCAGCCGTCAGTCCAATGATGCAACCTCCAATGCCACCACAGCCAATGCATTTAATGCCTGCAATGGGGCAATGTGCTCCACAATGTGGTCCTTTTATGTCATCAACTCCACCAATGTCCCCATGTCCTGATCCTTGCATGCAGACAGGGTGCTGTGGAGCTCCTCAACTACCGCCTCCTATGCCAAGAATGCCTCCTCCACCTTGCCCACCAGGCTGCCCATCGGCCTGTTATCCAAAATGCAGTCCAGTATGCTGTAATGCACCTCTWCCACCACCAATAGGACGAATTCTTCCTCCACGTCCACCACCAATGCCACCAATGCAAGGTGGATGCCAGCCCTCATGTGCTCCAGCATGCTGCGGRGGTATGCCACCACCAATGCMGCCACCAATGCMRCCACCAATGCCACCACCAATGCAAGGGGGATGCCAGCCCTCATGTGCTCCAGCATGCTGTGGGGGTATGCCACCACCAATGCAGCCACCGATGCCGCCACCAATGCCGCCACCAATGCCACCACCAATGCCACCAATGCAAGGAGGATGCCAGCCATCATGTGCTCCAGCATGCTGTGGGGGTATGCCACCACCAATGCAGCAACCAATGCCACTACCGATGCCACCACCAATGCCACCACCAATGCCACCAATGCAAGGGGGATGCCAACCCTCATGTGCTCCAGCATGCTGTGGAGGTATGCCACCACCAATGCAGCCACCTCCAATGCCAATGCCAATGCCACCACAAAGTTGCCCGGCTCCATGCGCTAGATCTTGTGCACCCAAGTGCACGCCGGAGTGTTGCGACAGAAAGTAATTGAAAAGGAAAACTTTGGACTTCTTTTCTTCCTTTGAGGCCACCACCAATGCCACCAATGCAAGGGGGATGCCAACCCTCGTGTGCTCCAGCATGCTGTGGAGGTATGCCACCACCAATGCAGCCACCTCCAATGCCAATGCCAATGCCACCACAAAGTTGCCCGGCTCCATGCGCTAGATCTTGTGCACCCAAGTGCACGCCGGAGTGTTGCGACAGAAAGTAATTGAAAAGGAAAACTTTGGACTTCTTTTCTTCCTTTGAGCTCACGAGCTGCCATTGGCAKTTTCTTTGCGACCGAAGTAAAAGATTTTTGGACATCTTTATCAAAAGACTAAACACCGACAATTTGTCTACATGTAAACTAATGACATCATTACTGAGAAGTGACGATCATTTGGTTTCCAGAAAACGCCGAAGTACATTTTTAATACATGCATATTTACAAAAGTAGACGTAAAGTATCATTATAGCACACTTAAAAGAGTTTATACTCGATATATAACGGTCAAGTCTTTTATAAAGATCGGGTACATAAATATGGGATCCTGTGAATATATGATTATTATTGTATATATTAGAGTAGGTTTTGACTCATTTTAAATGCAATATTAGCAGATTAATGTTACGTCTATTGAGGTCTTTATGCGTTTGACTATCTTGAGTTCATTTGTTCAGTACGCAGGTAGTATAATGTCTAATCAGGAGAGTAGTATAATTCACATTTGAGTCTGAATAGATATAAAATCATCCACTGCACAAATATCGCCTTTTTCATATCGAGCGGGGTACTGGRTTCGAGTTCGGATCGCAAAGCATGCATGGATTGTTTGGAAGGACAGTAATTCAGTAATGGCGTCCTTCAAAACTGTAGATTCTAGCTCTAAAGAAAAGATTATTTTGACCGAAGAAGACATTCCTGGCGCTAAAATTGCCCGTGAATCACTGTGCATAGTATAGATGAAGTTTCAATTTTAGCACTTTCATATGTATAGTCATGAAGACTTTGAATCATACCGTAACAGTATTGTGCAAATTAATATTGGTCTTAGAATGTATTAAAGGAAGTTTATTTTGAATTTTACCTGGTTCTCACKATGTGTTAAAGTAATCATAACTTAACAGTTGTGGATCTACAAAKGGGGGTGGTCGGGCTAACTTAAGAAAAAAGAATATTGCTCAATATCAAAAGATATTACCCCCCTCGCGTTTCATTCATCAAAGCTATTTTTCCTCTTCTTGGGTATTAAAAACTCTTCTTATAAGATTCATTTTGCTGTGAACATGTCGAGTTCATTACAATAAAGAAAATTAATGTTTCGTAAAGATCAGAGAAAAATTCAGAAATTTTCAGATGCACTGAAGAACATTTGGATTTTGAGGTCTATAGTAAATCAAATTCGACTCTGCCCCCGAATTTTCCCTCGGAGCATACCCCAGTATATCTGTAACGTAAGAAATAAAGGAATCGTGTTATAYTTCTTAATAATTCCTAATGTATCTTTCCTAGAGAGGTGGCTGCAACGAATTTCTGTTTGCTTGTTGGTGAGACAACTGATTTTGGACCGATCAGAAAGCAATGGAAAAAGCGCCACTTTGTCAAGAAGTTATAGTAGCGCACTGGGGTGTCTCAATGCGTGCCAAGACAAAACTCTTTTAATCATCTAATTTGAGAAATTTGTGAACACCTGTACTGGTCCAAATATACGAAATATGAAAATGATATGAATAAAAACTAAATGATTTTTACMTTAAGACGTACATTTTTGTACTTTCGTTGATTTTCAGAACAAAATGCAAATTATTCTCGGCATAGTTAACTATGTTCTCGGTAATAGAAGAATATTTATGATGACTACGACAATATACTCGTTAGCTTATAAAATATTCAGAAGTATTGTCGATATGTTTACCGAAATATAGTGACATTGGATAGCTGACGAGACCTCTTCGAGCATGAAGGTGTTATTTCATTTGCTGTCGTTGTGGTTGTTTGTCTTTCTTTTCGCGAGTTTATCAAAAGGTAAAAATACAGATATAATCAGCTTCAATGCTAACAAATCCTCCATAATAAGGAACACGGTAAACAGCCTGGATATTGCCAGCTTTGCAAAATATCAAAGCAAGTATTTAGGTCCAAACAATGGACCAGTAGTTCTTATTAAGAAACAAGTTGGGCATGAGATGCAGTGTATYGCTGATTGTGTAGCAGATTTCAAGTGCATCTCTATAAACTTGGCAAAACTTCCTAATTCTGATGGGAAGTTTCCGTGCGAGCTGTTAAAGACGGATAAATTCGATACTAACACTGCCAGCCTTACAGACAATGTAAACTTCAATCATTTATCTATTTGGGTGAGTAAAAGACTTCCTTAATACACAGTTATATCGTGATATAAGRTGAAAATTTACCAAACGTTTCACTGAGTTATCTAGGTGTGTATTGATTTTGTTACGAATTGATGGCTTTTTTTCTGTTTTTTAAATACTGACTTTATTTGAAAGATTTTCTTTCTTTCGTTGTCTATCCGACTATAATGGTTGATCGTCAACATTTCGTTTACAACTAGAGTGAGTTTTTCGATCTTTGTGAGAATATTCTACTGAAGGAAARCTTCACTATTTTCGATCTTTCATTTCGTAATGACTATTATACGGCAAGARAGCGGAGTCCAATTGTTCTTCTTTTAATTAGACGAATGGGTCCCATAGCGAATTAATCATGACTGTTTCGAAACTGTTTTGCATTTTAATTAAAAAAAAAATCAATGATGTCTTCCTAATAGCAAAGCAGACATTATTGTTGAATTTCTTGTAAAAGAAAATTTTTAAATACATCCTGTACTCGATTTATTCAAAGCCATTTTGTTATATCCATTTTTATTATCATCAGCCACGCATTACCCTAACTTGYTGTCGGCTGACCAGCTTTCCTAGAAACATTATATTCATTGTTATGTGTATTGATATAAAATTCAAAGGTTTGGTAAACGCTAGTATCGTGAATATTATCTTATACTAATYATAGTTCTTTGAAATACAGAGCAAGTGTATGTCTACTCCCTGYAACCAGAACGAAGCCTGTGTCCCACTCTACGCCAACCAAAGTTACACCTGCCAGCAATAGAATCATGCATTGATTACCAGCCTCAAGAAGCAATGCTCAGCAGATCTGTCAKAAAAAAAACCGTCAGGAGAAATAGTTAAATCACACGTCAATCTGTTTTTTTATTCATATATACCAGTGCATGACATGTCTCGATTTTTTAGCATTTCATGAACATTCTTGTGTACGAAATACCGTCGTTTTTATATARCAAAAGTAAAACAGGATGCTGAGCTACTGATCGTATTATAAAACGTTTCTTGTGTTCTGTGGCCGGTGAAGTGTAACTCATGCGTCGAATATAGCCTGAAAACTTAGTGCCATCTTCAAACCTGACAACCTCTGTACTTGGATGTAATTTCTGAGTTTCTGAAGTTAGATGACTGCGCTAGATGACTACCATTCAGGTTTTCAAAGCATCGGATGTCAACAAGAGTTTTATWCAAAACTATACCCGTATGAATCACACTTCACCTGCATCGCTTACTCGAGTGTTCAATSGGATCAATGACCTGGCGGATTGTGAAATTTGGAATCAAACTTTCGGTTCTGTTTAAGAATTTTTTAGCGGTATTTCGACAATGACGCGTCGTCAGGGATACTAGCACCAAATAAAATCTTCTGTTTTTCTGTCTATAATTCAACGGGTTGGGAGTAACTAACAAAAACAAAATGGCGGAAATTTAAAGATGGCGGAGGTTTATCGAAGCTTCTCAAAAGAAAAAAAGGAAAAACAAACAAACAAGCAAACAAAACGAAAAGAAACTGCATTCAGCCGGACTTTCTCGGTTTGACCAAGGTTTTCTACCTTGTTCTCTTATTAAAGTTTGAACTGCAAAATTAGATCTATGAAGCAGACGCGAGAAAAGCAAAAYATGACTGAAATGGTAGTTAAATGACAGTAGAATATAAGTTACTGGGAGCTCATTTAATTYAAGCTTTCAAAAACAAAATGTTGGTGTCTTTTGCTGTTTACAGAAAAAATACGTTAAAACTCTAGGCTTTTTGGGAAGTTGAAGTTATCAAAACCACGGGGATCACTTCAAAACTTTAAGTTTAGTGCGATCGGATAATTTAATAAAATCTTAATGTCCAACTGTGTTTTAAGTATATGCAAAAGAGAAATTTAAAAAATATATTTTGCTTTCATCTATGAATAATGAAATCTTATGATTTTTTCSTTGGCAAAGGCAGTTGTTGACCCTTTATCCCTCATTTATTACTCCATGACTTCAAAGGATACGCCATTTTTAAAGATAGCTGAAACGGGGAGTTGAAAGGCTTGAACCATAAAAATTCATTTTCCTAAAAAAACTTTCCAAATGACAATGTTTGTTTTGTTTGAAGACAGCAAAATAAAAGTAGTTTTTAATAGAATGCTTAGCAGTATATCGATCTCTGTGATGATCACATAAGATTATTACGAAAACTTAACAAATCAATCTATTAATACTGTACAGACCGATCACAAATTTGTTTTTGGGGCCCTGGACATCAATTTTCACACATTTTGATAGCTTGATGAACCAAATGTTTATGTTTGAGAATTAAAATCAAAAACGCCTATTRTGAAAAAAATATAAACAAGAATATATATTACAATGCCTTCGTAAAGACGGGTACCAAAGTACCCGACCCTACAGATGAAATAGTCTACCCGCACAACCAGTTAAAGAGAACAAAGTAGCGATTAAAAACCAGAAAATTCAAAAGAACAGCCACCTGTGCAAAGTGACCAGGGGATTCATAGAATCTTACCTCATATAACTTGATGTCAAGAAGGGTCGTTCCAGAAGACCAGTCAACTAGACATAGTGCATAGACTGTTGAATCCCACCATTCCGCCTCGTCAAGGTAAGACGATACTTAATCGACGACAATTTCTTTTCTAAACAATATCTATTCTTTAAATACATCAAACCTGTTAGCTTAGATATCTGTAATTTTGTTATGATTTTTAAGAGTTTTATGGTAGGGTTATAAACAGTTTTATATCTTTCAGAAAGATGGTCACTAAGACGCTAGTTATTCTGGCCGTACTGGCCCTTACAATGACACTTTTCGTGGATGCTAAGTCAACGAAAGGTACGACATTTTTGTTTATTTGTTTAGAATTTAATTGCAATTATTAATCGGGTAAATTAAAAAAGCAACTATTTACTATAATAACATTAACACCAAATGATTTTCCTTGTGCAACTTGATGAAAAACGCGCTTTAGATACGCAAAATTCGCGCTTGAATAGTATCGGTTCTTTTTCATGAATTACTACGATTTCTAACACGAAATCTCGTTTTAATAGTCTCAATTGAGGAGGAAAAACAAAGAATCATATTATCATAATAATTTTTCTATACTTCTGAAACACCCACCTGTTCAGAGTTTTACGTGAAAAAGACAAAGTTACCAACGGACTTTCTAGCTATGTGATAAGCAATATATATATATATTTTATCTCTTATCATAAATATATATATATTTTATCTCTTATCATAAATATGAACAGTCGACAAAAATGAAAATGAATCGATACAGTATATATTTTGCAGGTAGTTGTAGATATACAATTACTTTAAATACAATAAATATAACTAGGATTCAAATTCACTGGTATTGTGCGGTGAACTGTTCCAAGGAAAGTATGCTAAAGCCACCTCCATGCACGAGCAGCCCTTGCTCATGAGGTCTAAYGATAAATCGATAAGTATTGCCGGTAACTCATCCGATGAACAAATTGATTTCACATCAAGACGTAATATAGAATGAGATATTAACAAGACGAAGAAACTTATGCAGAGAAAGCCATTAGTACGAAAAATCAGTTGTGGTTGTTCATTTGTTTGAAACCAATAGAACTGATTTTACAATTGCCATGCACCAGAAGAAATGCGGCACGCTTTTGCTTACCAACATACTGATCGATGGAAGGATTCATGGTGTACAACAATTATCCAGGAATCTCCTAAGAAATAAGGAGCAAAGCTATCCCGCCATGTTTGATGAATGAACAAGCAAAACAAATGAGGAATGCTTTGCGATCTTCATCCAACATGGCGGTGATGACGTCACTTGCTAATCGTTTAATGATATAATGCCAATATTGAATACGATTGATAATATCCTAGTAAACGTTATGTAAAGTATTATAGCTTTATTATTTTTCATTTTTTGTCAAGTAATTTAAATGAATAACATTGATTATTCTATTTGACTATAAATTTCAGCAAGCAAGCAACATAAGCATGACAAAAAACATCATCACGGTAGGTCAAGGTCACCATCTTGATACTTGCCCCCAATACGCATGTCAAATGATTGACATGTCGTCCGACCACTTTGCATATTTTTTAATCTTACCTGACCAAGTTTTGGAAGAATTTTGTGATGTTTTTTTAATAAGACAATGCTACAACCAATCCTAGCATACTACAACCAATCCTAGCAAACTACAACCAATCCTAGCATACTACTGCCTCTAATTAGAAACTGCAAAAAGAACAGGGATCCCGCGAGGCTTGTCACTGTACATATTTCAATGAATAGAAAAATTCATAAACATTTGATATTAATATATCATAATTGATCAATATGTTCTTGAACATAGATGAGCCGAAGAAAGAGAAATCGATAGAAAAGGAAGTCGAAAAGATCAAACAAGAAGATATGTACAGTATGTTGACAGTTWCATTGCGCTTTATAAATAAGACACTTTGGTTAACGTTTTTCATTGAATTACTTWAGGTCAACCCCCTCCCGTTGCTGCAGCAGCAGGATCTGGAAGTGGTAAGTGGTATGGTTAGAGTTGTTATGTAAACGAACCCTTTTCATCACCGGGTTTCCTTAAGATCTGTCAAATAACCTAAGCCTTTCCAAATAGAAGTTCGCTTTATATATTGTTTATTTCCGTAAGACCTGTTAGCATGATTTTTATATTTACATAGTCAGATAAGTTGCCCCTCAGATCGCCTTATACGATGGTCTCTTGTTTAAAGGCACTCAACTAATTTTAAAATCTTAATAATTTTGTCTCTTAATCGTGCTTGTTTCTATACAACATCGCTTTGTTTTCCATGACATCATTATTGTTACTATATTTATCGTCATTATTTACAATTTTTGTTTCAATCTGCAGGAGAAGGAGGATCTGGCGGTGGATCAGGATCAGGTAAAATATGAGCTTTATATTCTTTCTTCGTTTAAAATTTTACTGGAAAACACAGCAATKATATATACAATGATAACAATAGTAAAATACAGTAATTAATATCTTTGGATTGTTCTCTTTCTAGGAGAAGGTGGGCCTCAACCCCGTCTTTGCCCTGCCCCATGCCCGCAAGTGTGTGCACCGGCTTGCATGGAAAACTGCTGTAACCCTCCTGTTGTTGGACCAGTACAAGTATCCCCTCCCTGTCCGACAACCTGCGCCCCCGATTTTTCTCAACAGTGCTGTCAGTCGGCTCCTATGCCAGTACCTATGCCAGCACCTATGCCARTGCCTATGCCAGCACCAATGCCAGTACCTATGCCAGCACCATGCTGCCAATCGGCACCAATGCCAGTACCTATGCCAGCACCAATGCCTATGCCTATGCCCATGCCTATTCCGGCACCCGCTCCATGCATGACCCCAGCATGTAGACGACATAAGAAAACCCATAAAAAACACGCTAAGAAATCGCATTAAATCGCGCACTGTAGTCCTAAGCAATTGTTGACTATAATCGATTGTTCGATTTCGGATAAACTTGTGCCAACGAAATGCTTTTATGCATAAAAAAAAGACGGTTCCGAGCGACCAAAAGAGTCAAAAATTATGATTTTAAAAGTTGATCTCGATATGATGATTGCTAACTTAAAAGRTGACTTAAATAAAATCATTCTGTAATTACAATTAATCAAATAAATCAGGAATGAAGTATAATTCGTTTTGAATAATAATGATGGTATTTCCGAAATCATTCCTTGAAAACTAAGGCTTCTCATCTTTGCGCCCTTTCGAGAATGAGCTAGTATGCATCTCTGAAGACTAGCAAGAATAATATGTTTGGCAATGGTCTCAAGATGGGAAACCTTAGTTCCCTGACCTGTAGCAAAATTGCATGATTTGCACTAAATTACTTGAATATCAGAGATGCATACTAACTGATTCTATTCTTATTTTTTCCCAGGCCCACCGCCAACAATATGTGCTCCACCATGTGTGATGGGTCACCCTCATCCTATATCAGTTATTCTTGGTGGTTATCCCCACCCAGGCCCTCCATCCGCCGTAAACCCCTACCCATTACCTAGATATTGTCCAGCTCCTTGCCCTACAGTATGCGCTCCGGCTTGTGCGGACGATTGCTGCTCGTTGATTCCCCCAATCCCACCAAAAATGCCACCCCAACCTGGCAACCAGTGTGCCCAATCGTGTGCACCAGCATACACTCCTAGCTGTTGTGGTGCAGCCCCACCACCAGTACCATACATGCAGCAGCCAATGCAGCAGCCAATGCAGCAATCTATGGCAATGATGCCGCAGACGATGCGAGGTTTATGCAATGTTCAATGCCAGCCTACTAGTCCAATGTGCACTTCTCCAACCGCTGCCTTTGCCTGCCCAATGCAGTGTTGCAGAAGAAATTTTAAGAAAAAATCAGCTATAGGCAAACATCATTAAAGCATGTTTTGTTATGATTGTAAATACAAACCATGGTGTAGAATTAATAGATTTATATGCACCTTGGAACAAATTGTGAAAACATTATCCATGTACAAGCTGATTTTTTACATAAATATTATCTATAGGTTGATATACTTTCAAATTAGTAACTAATAGGTAAAAGTATAAATAATCAGTAAATCATTGTTTATAGCATGTTAGTCCTATCTGTGGGAATTGAATTTTGGGTAAATAAATTATATTTGCAATATTGTGTCCTTATAAATCAATCCAGTTTGGTGATCCTGGAATCAAACACCTCATTGGCAACAAAGATCTCAACCGTGAAGGCGGAAAGTATTACTCTAATGTCTGGTGATAATTCTTGGAGAGAGAAAGCCACAGTAATTTTTATACAACTTTTCAATGTTGTTTCTTTTCTCGCATGGTAGCGTAGTTATCGTTGCTAGGGTCTCAAATGATCCGTGCAAACTCTCTATTGTCTAGATATTTATATTTGTGCAAAAAGCGTTAACGACCAGTTTTTCCTTCAGAAATTCAGAAGCAATGCAGTGCAGCATTTCTACATACCTTGTTGATAATATTTATATAACAGAATGGGCAATTGTATATCAGAAAATAATCATCAAATATATTGAGGTTTTGGACAAACTTATGCTGAATTATTTTCGGATGAAAAATTGAAAGTTATACCAAACAGAAACTAGAGAAAAGGTTCTTTTATAGTAGGGCAGTAAAGAATATTTTCTCTCTAATACCATAATCACTGAATACTAACCCACAAAACACTGACAGCAGAATGAGACCTTAACCCACATGGAATCAAAATAAGGTTTAATGATTGCTGTCCRTGTAATTTCAAGGGATTCGTTATACCCGGCCAAATGTCCATTCTGCTGGGTTTTCAGTGGTTAAGGTCACATCAACATTTCAATTATTTAGTCATAAATCGAAATACAACCCGCATTGGCAAACGAATGACCATACAACAAGCAAAGCTTTCGATTGGCTGAAATGCACAAACAACGGAACAGGTCAATCCGTCATAAGGAAAGTCATTAATGATTGAAAGATTTTTGTCAAATCTCCGCAAGAACTAAGATTTATCGACCAAATCGATAAAAAACAATGGAAAATTAGTGTTGATTTTCCTGATACAAAAGGCTTTTCTGACAATAGTTTTTAAGTTTAAAAAAGATTTCAAAATAGGCGTAAAAATGTGGCGGTTCGTCCTTTTATTGGTTGCAGTTGTGCTATTTGTTAATGGTGAACCAATTGAGAAACCTTCACAAACATCGACACAAGGTAAACCATTTTTTAAACCATTGTATGTCTTGTAAACGTACATTTACTCGTGCTTGAAGAATGATTTGAACCAAAGCAACAAACCTATTGAATGGAAACGAAACACTTAGAAATCAATGGAGACATTGCACTTGGAACCACTGAAGTAGAACAAGCCAGACAATAAGAAAAGAAGAAGTAAAAAATACGGGTTTTTTTTAATTATATTCAATGGATTAAATTAAGTAGACATCATACTTTGAATCAATATCAATTACTTAGTTTAGTATTGTACTGTCAATAAGTTCACTTGTGGTGTTTTGATTGTGCAGGTGAAGTCATCTTGGACAAACTATTCGTTTCATGAACTGAATAAGCTTGAATAATTTCGTAAAAAGACTTGGAAATATACTTTACCGCCATACTGTTTGTCTTTTTCACCAAAATTAGCTGATAAGCAATAATAAATCGTACTATAGATTCAAATACTATACAGTCTTAAACCCTGATGAAGCTGTTATCATTTAATCCGAGGTACATCAACTTCAGTACTTTTTGAGGTACTGAGGGAAGTCATAAGACTGACATGTCGGGCAGTTTTTGACTTGGAAACATCAAATGATCGAGTAATCTGCCAAAAGCTTCAAAYCGAATTGTAGTATAAAATTAGTTTATTTATTTGATATTAATTGATTTTAGTACAAGGAGTCAAACGAGACAAAACGGATCCATTAGCTGATGCAGAGCAAGCAGCAGGGCAAGCGGTTCTCCAACTTTTGGATGCCAAAATAGGTGAAAACTATTGATTATTGATATGGTGACATATAACTCACAGCTTGAACATCTAATAAGAGGGTCAATTATCATGAATCCATGAAAAAATAGCTTTATTAAATGGCAACGCTCTATTGTATTGTAGTATTTTAGTGTTATTTGGTATAGTTACAAATTAATACTGGCCAGCACCATYTCTCTCTTCCTTAACATGTATCACTGAAAAAAGTTGTAACATGTTCAATTCCAGGAAATTACATTGGTTTCTTTCCATTTACAGGAAAAAAAGTTCAAGATGCTGCCAAAGAGGTGACCGACTTTCTCACAACAGCTATAGGTATGAGTCTAAAAAGTTTGAATATTGAGATATATATTCTTTGAAAGTATAAGCTGATCGACAGATTGTTAGGCTCGCTGATTGGTTGGTTTGCAATTGATTGATTTACTGATTGAAAACTGACCAAAATCATTTTAGGAAGCCATTCGAATGCAAGAGCGGATTCAATCCGTCAAGACAAGCAAAAAGGTGACGATATAGTGAACACTATTGGTACTTATTGAGGAACTATAGTTGGTAATCTTTTATGGCCTTCTTCAACAGAAATGTCTCTTTTGCATCTGGGTACTATGCACACTATCCAAAAGCATGTCAAAAAGACCGAAGACAAGCCGCAGTTACAGAAAAAGAAGGATGGATCTTTTCTTGTTCACTTCAAAATTCCTTACATAGTAACACCATTAGACAAGAAGAAGAAGAAGCAAAGTCATCATAGTCCAAAACATCACGCACATCATATTCACCACATAAAACATAAAACAACACAAGATAAACCACCACCAATAGAAGTCGGCAGAAAACCTTATCACCCAGGTAACGGCGCTGAACATGCGCATTATGCAAAGGAGGATGGTGACCCAAACGAAATGGATATTGGATCAACTGAGTTTTTGTCATTTGAYGTCTGACCACTGATCTTACCAAATTGAAAATAAAACCTTCTTTTGTGACTAATGAATTGGCAGTTCTTAGTTCAAGATTTCATATGCGATGATGCCATGTTTGAAATGATTGATTGCCAAGTCAAAAAAGGCTTCAACGAATACAACTGGTTTCGGCTTCATTCGACTTTAGGAGGATCTTTAAAAATGAATACGAATCATATTGTAATTTATTTGGGCTTTTGCATGTTTGCCCTGTACAATCGAACTTCTCATCAGACAACAATTTAAAGAATTTTATATCCTTTGTCACAAATAAGGTCCACCAAAATGATCCTTAATAGTGCTCAATCATAAAAGTCATAGAGCTAAAACAACGGGACCAAAAAAATTAGAACTCTCATTGAAAGCATTCATGCTTACAGCGTGGACAAATGGAGCRGCCAAATACTAGAGGAATCTATATAATTTTGTGAAGAGATGAGATAAATCAAGAAACTTGGCATCATGCCTGCCAAAATGATGGCAAAATTGGAATAAAAATAATTATTTTGAGTTTGTTGTTTCTGAATGTTGAAAAATGCTTAGGATGATTTCGTTGTTAAAAGTCTCTGTAAATGCTTTCGTTGGGATTTTTTTAACCTAAAAATGTAAAAATTGCATGCTAGCAAATCGAAAATTGGTTAATATCTTTGCATGATCCTCTCCGGTAAACACTTGGTGTCCAAACTCCTCATTGCATGTTCTTAATTAATGATTTAATATTAATTTAATATAAGGAAAAGAGTAAGTTATGTTAAGTCAATAATTGTTATATAATGATGATGATATCCGAGAGGTAAATCGTCATGCGATATCCAATTATTTGCTAACAATAATGACGGTTATGATATAACCTCGGGACTCTTCTAGTGTCACATTGGTGTCACATGTATAAAAAATTAACGATTTTAACACTTTTCAGTATACCACCACGCTGCTACAATCGCTCCTAACCCTTACTCCCAATCAACTGGAGCAGGCTACACAACCGGTTATGGTTCAACTCATGCTGCAACAATGGCTCCTGCAACACCTGCAGCAACAGCAGCGGGGATGACACCTTGTCAAGGCTCGTGCACGGCCCCCTGCTCTCCACAGTGTTCAGCAGCCACTGATTGCTGTTGTTGTTCTGATCCAAATGCGGCCATGGCACCACCAGCAATGCCCATGTCTATGCCACCACCTCCCCCACCCATGCTTACCAACCCTAACCAGCCTCCACTGACGGCGCAACAGTTTTCTCAGCTTCCTCTTCTTCCTGGATCTCCAATACCACCAGGGGCGTGTCCTCAAATTTGTAAGCGTCATTGCATTGCTAAATGCCCCAATGAATGCTGCGGTGCAGGGAAACGAAATAAGGTGGAGAAGCCAAGTAAGTCGAAACCAGTGAAAATTGAGAAATCTAAACAAGAAACCAAACCAGAAGAAAAAACGGAAAAAGATGACAATGAAGATGATCAAGAAACTTCGCAGGATCAGCGGGATGAGGGGTCAGCTAATGAGGCCGCTGCGGACGAGGACAGCGTTGAATAGAGTAATGTTCTAAATTGACAACTACTTCTTATAAAACAACAGCACAATCTCTAAGAAAACAGATGAAATCCTATTGTTATTCTTATCTGGCGATGAAGAGCTAGAAATAGAATTTCCATGACCATTACTCAAATAAAGAAGTAGCTCTAAAGGAGATTTTCACCAAAAATGAACATAAAGGTAGAATGGGCATAGGATCCGTGAAAATAAGATGCTTTCTTTTAACATATTCTATAGGAATTACATAGCACATTATTAGCAACTGACAATCTTATATGTTAGTGTTAGTTAAGCATTGTAAATATGTCAATATGTATATGCTATAAAGAGATTTAATGACCTATATATATCTTGCAGTATAAAAACAAGAAACTAACAGAGGCTCGCAATAATCCAATGTACATTTTGCTATTATGTGACAAAATTCGTAATAGGATTTTGTGGTTAAGTCTGTAAAAATATGTATATATGCACATAGGGGTTTAAAAGATCTTGAAATGGTTTGCTTCGTCCTTCACGTAAAAAATGCCAAATAAGAATCTTTATAGAACCAGCTATTTTTCTCGCTATGCAAACGTACTCAATTGTCGTTAACTAATATGAAAGAACACTTTCGAAAGCTACTTCAAATGTAATATAAACTCGTAACTTTGTTTATTAAAAACGATGACAATACTGTACAAAATTGTATTCTTTTGTCTTTCGTGGAAATTATCTTCAGGAGAGACKTACTTCCTCCCCGAATATTTACATGGTGCTTTTTAAAGAGAGACTGATATGAAACCAATAGATTGGCTTGTTATTGGGCAACTCCTCCGAGAATGCCAAGGATTACTTAGTGTCAACATGAACTATTTGCTGTCAACAGCAATCAGAGACGCCATTGYAGTCCTTGCACTTCTTCGTGTCCGTTAAAATAGTCCGAAAAAGAGGCAGTTTTGTTGTTTCTACAATGAAAACATAGAAACGGATCTTAGCATGATTTGTTTGTGGTTATAAAAAGTGCGAGGACTACAATTCCCATCATGCTTTGCTGAATGACAAAATGGCTGCGCTGCACATTGCCTATTCAGGCCATTTTCAAGATTGAAGTCGAAATGGCTATTTTAAGAATTTTCTTCAGCTATGTCTTCTTGGCACCAAGATGGCTTTGTGGTTTGACATGCACAAACTGAATGAAAAAGAGCAATTAAACAAAAGCACAATCAAAACAAAACAAATGAATTGAAGCGTTTCCATCGATTAGATTCTCATAATAGTTCTTGTCACAGGTGCACGTAATGGATCCTCCGACTTCTGATTAATCAAATCACATCTCTGCACCATGTTAAACATATATACACTGACTAAACCTCGCGATATTTTTGTCGTGGAAGGAGAATCAAGATGGCGTGTTGTATCATTTTGTTTACACATCACTTGATCATCTGACTTTAAAGATTTTTCAGCAAATAATCAGCCAATTAATTCAGGACAAACCAGTTGAAAATCTAACAGAAAGTCACTTGGAAGCATCGAAGAATTTGAAATAATACCACACTTTACCAAGTGATTAAAATTCATGTCGGCAGAAGTCATTTTGTGTAATAATGAATTCTTACAAAGTACTTGAAGTATTTCATCGCCCGTCAATTCAAAGCTAATCCTATTTGTCCAATTGGTTGGATCCCTCGCAAGGATCGTTGACACCACTATGAAAACAAGCAGGTAGAGAAAAACATCTCAACCTTTCAAAATGCAAAAAAAAAAATTAGCTAACGAATACGTTCTGATAGAAAGACAGTATTTGAAGTATTTAAGTACACATAAAGCATACTTGACAGTAAACGAATTTTTCTCACTAATAAAGCAAACGAAACGACAAAAATGCAATGGACAATAAAATCCAGACGAAAAACAAACTAGTTTTATAAGGTTAAGAAAAGTAAATTTGATGACCCATAACGGCCTTTTCCTAGAATATGTAATAGGTTTCCTCAGACCTAGTTTCGGGAACAGCATCCTCCAATGACAGCGTCCGCTTGACTGACTTTTGACTGGTGACTGAACACCGTTAGTGTCACTCAATAGTTGACTTGTTAGTATCGTACGCTTCACTTCCCTGCAGAGCTTGTGGTCAAATCAAAAAAATTTTTCCCAAGAAAACACTGAAATTTCAATCAAAATATCCTTTCAAGGAGTTCAGAAAAAGTTTGAAAATTGGTGCTTTGCTATGAGCACTTGACGTTCTCAAGTCAAAACCATTTTTCCCCATAGTATTTCCAAACAGTGACGATGATGGTGTCGGTCAAGTACATATTATTTGTAATACTAGTGATTTTACCATGGAGTTTAGCAGCCGAACAAGGAGACGATAAAAAACTACAAAAATACAAAATAAACGGTAAGTGTTAATTTTGCTAAACTGAAAAAAGCTATAGCGAAATTCAAATGAAAGGAAAGTTTTCATTAATAAGAATCTCTAGAATAGATGGTTTTAACAATTGATTAGCTTCAACGACTTCTGTTTGGAAAAGTGTAGAATCATATGAGAAATATTTGTCTTGAACCATTACGTTTCTAGCGATTTCCTTTGTAACTACAAAACCAGAAGCAAAATACTGATGACATTTTAGAACTTTGACAATTTACCCAAGGCCGTTTGACAGATGAAGTCATTGTGTTTTGATTTTTTTTTATCTGAATTGCTCATTTTCTTTTCAACCCAGATAATGAGTGGAAAAAAGCACAAGATATCATTAATAAACTTGTGGATGAAAGTATAGGTAAGAAGRAATATWTTGATATTACGTTTAAAAATTCTGAGATATAACTCGACTTTTCGCGGTTCAGCTATTTCTTCAGTTCCCTCTCATTCATGTTTTATCTGAAATGCTTTGGTTTCTTACTAAACATATTCGCTTTTGACGATTACAGCTAGCAGAGTGACCGAAGCAGAAAAGGACATGACGAGCCTTCTCCAGCAAAATATTGGTATGTATCGGCAGTGCTGTTAACAAATCAACAGTCGGTCATACTTGTTATCCTAGCAAATCTGTAATGCACGACTTAAAACTGTGATAGATACCTCCTCGACAATAAAATCAAAATATCAGATTTCTATTAGATAACTCTTCGACAATAAAATCAAAATATCAGATTTCTATATCTTTAACAAGTATGTAAGTTATGAAATTTGCAAATGGAGGTTGTGAAACGAAAACTTTGTAGTAAAACAATCATTTTTATTGTTGTTCTGTTTTCTGCAGAGGAACATATCAAGGCAAAAAGCAAGGAATACGTCAAAGACTTAAAGAAAGGTAGATATTATTTCTTGGAAACAGTAGCGTAGCTTTCCTAAAGTTTCAGGTTTTATAAAACCGTGTATTTTTTCAAGGTTGCGAAGATAGAATGGAACATTGTGATGCATTGGCTGAAGCTGGAGTCTGCAAAACATCCAAGAAAGCAATGCAGCAACATTGTGCAAAAACATGCCATCTTTGTGGTTAGTATGTTATTATATGTCTTGTGCTTCGATGTGTCATGATTGGACATTCAGTTAAAGTTTTTTATCRATAACCGTCCCTGTCGAAAATGTTGTTAGAATAGCATTTTTTAATACCTTTTCAGAAACCCAGTACATCAAGATTARTCCAGAAGTGGAAATCGTAATGAAGCCTAAGTCTTCAAAGCCTGCAGCAAGTCTCATAAAATCCGCGGAAGAAAATGTAAGCCAAAGCGTCAAAGCTGCAGTTCTTCATAATMTTTTTGCTTCTCCTTCAAACTCTGATTCATCGATGGAACCCTTACTTTCCCAGCAATCCTCAGAAGGCATGAAATATCACGATAACAAAGACCTGTCTACTGAAAATGAGAAGATCAGAGATGCTCAGAAACTCCTTGAATATGTCAAAGTTTTACACGTCAAGAAGAATAAAGAAAGCGTACATGAAAATGCTGCAAAGAAACACGTAACTAAAAGACCCTCAAAGAAGTCAAAAACGAAAAAGATCCACGGTGTACCAATGGATAACCTTTCAAAGACCGTCACATACAAAAACCAAAAGTACAAGATAACCCCGGTCGTGGACTGGAAAAAAATCTCTAAAATGCTCAAGTCACTTGGATATAAAGCCATYCACATTGTTGGCATGAAAGACAAGCATCTAGAGAAGGGGATCAAATCTCGACTCCAAAAGACCGGCCTTATCAAAGTGACATCGGGAAAGAAACACAAGCCCCACGCAGCCAAAGAGACTCTTGTAAAAGCGATACACAGAGAAAAATCTTATCGTGACCGTAGGTGACAAATTACTGAGTTTTTAGCTCAATCGTGTGTATAAACTTAAACGAAATTAACGATACTATGTAAAGAGACAATTAATTAACTGACAAGTGTTCTTTTTTCTTCGCAGCAATATGGTTCAAAAACAACTGCCATCCCTTTTGTAAAGCAGCCTGTATCAGTTCCTGCAAGCTGGGTTGCTGCAAAGACTTCGACAAAGTTGACAAAAAGACGGGTCTTTTAGCACACTGCCATCCATACTGCAAGATAAACTGCGCAGATTCATGTGGAGGTGGATGCTGCTCAGCCGAAGCAGAGAAAAAGAGAGCGTACAAGCTGAAAAATTTCCATAACGATAAGAATCAACTTACACCGACAAAAAAAGCAACWTCTGCAAAGCCAGGTTTTCGTCTCGACGACATCCACCACTTCGAAAAGCCACATCCTCCAATAGTTAACCCCAAATTGTATTCCCCTGAAATGTACAAGCCACAACCTAGACTTTGTCCTAGCCCCTGTCCTCAGGTTAGTTCTTATTTCCAAGAAAACTGTTTTTGACTTAATTTACTGAAATATACGTTCACCAAGAAGACAATATTGTAACAATGAYGAGAATGTTTATCAGCAAGTTTCAGCATTATTTTTGACCGTGACACACATATTAAWCATGAGACTTTATGACTGAATTATCAGTGAACTATAAATTGTTATTGTATTTTTCTTAGAGCTGTGCACCAGCTTGTAGTGACGCATGCTGTAGTTTTGGTGATTACGCACACCGAGACGAAGCAATACAAGCAAACCATAAACACAACCCTGGACTGGTTCCCAATACTCCATTCCAACATTCCCATRKTATCCCACAAAATGCTTACCAGTGCGATGAATCGTGCAAGTTCCGTTGTGACTCAAACTGTGCTGATGACTGYTGCCAACCGGAAGGATTAGTCCAGCGTGCCGCTCGTCTGCAGTCACCATATTATAATTTCAATACGCAACAACAGCMAATGATGGGSTACAACCCTGCCAGTCAAAATCTCGATCAGGGYGGAATGTGCCCAGCCGGATGCCCGAGTACGTGTTCACCATCATGTACTCCTGACTGCTGCGCAGCAGCACTAGGAATGCCTATGGATGATCAGCCTGATTCTCGATCGGCAACAAGAAAGGTTATTCACATTCAGCATATTCTTCACCCCGTCGACAGAAAAGGTCTTGTGCCTGGAACCTGCCCAACTTATTGTGGAAATCATTGCACACCAGTTTGTGCAAGATCGGGATGTTGTGTGAAATAAGTAAATGAACTATACAGAAATGACAAAACACCAAAAGCTGCTGCTACTCGTTGGACATTTGTATATATTTATTAAAACATTTCTTTGGAAAATACTTGTTCACATACATGTACATTCAAATTCACCAGGAAGAAGTCCATAATCGGGCATATAGTTTTAAAATATGACTAGAAACAATAAAGTAGAAGCTAGATTTTGACATGCAGGCAGTTATATGGTGCAAACATACAGTATATGCTCTACCACAGTTGATCTAAAGAATAACAATAAATACAGTTGACATCTTTCCATTTGGCAAACAACTAGGAGCAGACAACAAACAACAGTTTAAGGAGTGATTGTAACCGACTAAGCCTCAGTTGTCAGTAAAATTAACGAAATCAGTAGCTGAATGGTGAAACATTAAAATKGATTGTGCACGTCATAAAAGCATTAGCGATCACGAACTGAAGGACAAATCAATAGTCACGTATAGATAAAAAAATGTACTAAAAACCTGCGATTATATGTACATGAGTGTAATTGTAATTTTTAATAAGTTTACAAAKGTGGATATTATTTGGTAAATGATAAGTTATGATAACTATATATACTCAAAGCCAAATGGGAGTCATAAGGGTACATAGTACTCAATGAAGGAAAGGAATAAGAWTAGTATTGACGTGTATTGCCGTAGTAATTCCAAATAAATATTGTTATTTTGTACAGATTCCTTTTATTTTTCAGTGTTCTATTGGGTACTAACCATGGGTGTGGTTTAACATTGTCAAAATCATGTGAATTCTTTTTCGGTTGAATAAACTACACTGGAGAAAGGTTACCCATGCTGATATTCACTGCTTAGACGCATGTCCTTCTGAGCTCAGCGACTAATTCCCATACAGAGGATGGATTGAACTATTAGTCGGCCGATAAAAGACGCTTTATCAACAACCGACTTTGATCATCCAATCTTACGCTCTCAACGTTTCAATTACTAGATAACTTCAGTGTACATACTTAAAAAACCTGCAGTTAAATGGAAAAATTTACCAAAAAAAGTTTTATGCGCTTCCAAGAGCCTTGTCGCCTCGAATCACCTCATTATTGTTCATCCACAGGTTTAATTATAGGAGTGGTAACAGAATTATAGTCAGAATGCGCTACTCGCATTTCKTTTTCACTCAAACTCCAATAAACACATATTTACAATGTACATTTCATCTTCATGCTGTTACATTCCAAAGGATTTTCTCCGCTTTTTTTAACAATATACTGAGGTTTTAGAAAAAAAATCTAACTCTAACCGGCCGCATTGCTTGAAATTCTGTTATGACGTCTAAGTAATAAACAGATTCGATCCAATCTGCTTCACTCTTGACCTTCTCACTTATATTTTTGGCGTTATGAACGGTTAATAACAGTTACTAACGGAATAAATTAAGTAAACAGATATTGACATCATATTCTATTCATCCTCTCATTTGATTTACTCTTAATTTGACGGACATGGACACTTCAAGAAAGTGTTGGCCATCAAACGTGGCTTTGAGATAAAATCAAAACCTCGCTGGTTTCTACAAGTGGCTAGGTTGAAAATGACTTGGAAAAGTCTGAAAAGCAAAACACTTTTCATATAAAATGAATTCCCATTGGTTCAGCTCGTCGATTGCCACCAAACAGGGCTACAAGTGCAAGTCAACAACCGGTCAAGGACAATAGCCCATTGATAAATAATACACAACAACTGAACAAAGACAAAGAAATTGTTCACAGTTTAAGTTCAAGACGGCCATCTAACGTTAAGGACTCTAATCAAGGTAAGATCATTTTTGATTAGATTCATTCTATAGAAAAAACAGCAAAAGTTGACGAAAGGGATAATATCAAATTACGTTAAATGATAGATTAAGAAGCGTAGAAGAAACACCTGATAAACACATTTGGAAATACTTGAAAGAGGCTAGGGGTGATAACTAAATAGCAGATAGAGACAATAGACTACTTAACGAGTATATTCAAATCGCTATTTTTACGAGTAATTTAAGTTTAAATCGCAATTTCAAAGATTTAATAAAATTCTAATGCCCTTTGTGTGATTTCAATCGTATATTTATTGTACTCCCAGATCTCAATTAAAATTTGATACTCTCAAAATGTAATCAATCGTAAATGTTCATAGCCTTGATTAAACTTGACCATAGCTTTTTAGATATCGCTGTAGGATCGAGTTAATGTAGTTTAGTGTATTAATAGTTTGTTATTAAAATTCAGTAMAATGGATCGAAGAATACTGGCGTTGCTAATAGTTGTCCTGGCTGTTCTCGTCTGTTGTGGAGATGCCAAGAAGCCCGTTCCATCTAGTAAGTCTTAAGATTATGATATAACAAGCGTTTTAAAGTGAAGAGAAATCGAAAGAAATTTTGAATGTCTCACTCTTTAAAGTCTATTCACACAAATAAGACACTGAGATTCAGCTACGTCCAAATAATTCGCTATATCATAATGTTTTACTGTAATCTTGAAATGCTATACAAATAATATTTATCTTAAAAGATATGAAGAGATATCTCAAATAACGGTTTAACGGTTCCTGGAAAATTCCTGAAAATTTACCGGATATTTGACATTTAAAGACTCATTGTCTTGCCTCCCATTAAGACATATCATGTTACTCGTCCCCAGGCCAATAATGTACRGCGACTGAACGTGCATCCRGTTCTTGCACATGTACAAGMAAGAGTTCAGACCGAGAGAAAAAACAATAATTTGTGCTTATACTATGTTGTTTGTTTGTTGTTTTTTTAAGAAAAACATCATSTAAAGAAAGTTGTAAAACCAGCATCCCATCCTAAAGCTCCAAAGAAAGAAGATGAACCAAAGCCTGTAAAAGACGACGATGATGATGGTAATAATAACCATTTTTTGCATTAAACAATAAAAATCAACCTTTAATTTATCATTTTCTTTTGAGAAGATGATGACGATAAGAACAACAAAAATAATGACGATAAGAGCKCCAAATCTATCGATCCTGCTGAAAAACAAAATGGTAAGTTGCATTCGAGTGAAAAATGACAAGATCATCTTGTGCATTGACAAGAAAGGGTGGGAAAAAYTAGAAAATCGCTCTAAATTCAGCAATAACTACCAACTCACATCATCMATCGACAAAGAGAACGGTTTTCAGTTTGTCATGACCGACTACTATTTTGTCAGTTAAGACACCTCAATCTGTCAATTTTCAAAGACTTGCTTGTTAGTTCGAAGAGGTCATCTTTTCCAACAAACAGCTTATAGAATGATTGCATCTTACATACCTACGTTTTAGATGATCCGGATCAAGACGACGATGATGACGATGATGATAAACCAGAAAAAGATGAGAAAGAAAATGAAACAAAATCCAAAGTAAAATCTGCTGATAAAACAGACAAGAAAGCAGCATCGAAATCCAAAAAGCAAAAAGACAAATCTAAGTCAAAACGTAGGTATTCTTAATCAATTAAGACTTGATCCTTGCCACACAACCTGCTTCACTGATTGACTTATTATATACTTGATAGCGAAGGAACAAAAGGTAACGCTGAGTGGTCTGCTGGACTCGAGCATTGGTAAGTATATCTCTTGTTGCACTTGCTCAAAATCTTTCAATTAGATTCAAATTTCGAGAAGCTTCAGAATCAGTCGATATGATTTTTACTTAATTTACTCTTATGTTCTTTATCAAGCTTATTATACTTGAATTTTTGTTGCAGATAATTTGGCAAGAGCAGGAAAAGCTATCCAAAAAATTCTTGATGCMACGGCAAAAACCACTCGTAAGTCGATCCTTCTCGAAATGTACTCCAAAATCAGTTTGTTTACCATAGTATGTATATTTTTATGATCTTTATATCTTAACTCTTTCAGCTGCGCCACCCACATCTTGCCATGGATATTGTCCAGATATCTGTGCACCTATGTGTTCTTCTAGCTGTTGTCAGAGTCCTCCAAGTGAGCCTGCTCCACCACCATCTCCCTACCAGATTCCAGTACATCACCAGCAGTCACCGTACCATGCAGCTTACCCTAGTTACACATCTCCAATAGAATATCCACAGGGTCCATATCCTCAGCCAGCACCATACACTGCTCCCCAACCAGCATCATACAATCAATGCCCTACACAATGTCTTGCGACACCTGTACAGTCACCATGTCCAACTGGTTGTCAATCAGGTTTGTATCRCATCATTTTCAAATTCAATGAAAAGACCTGAAAAACGACCATCTGAATTGAATGAAMTTTTSCAGTAAGTTTCTTTTCATTTGCTGTATTTTCACTTGGTTTTAATAAAGTAGAAAGTGAGCTATAAGTACTATATGAGAGTAGACTGGGCGACGTAATGTATGTTTGTATATTGAATATTTTTGTGTGTGATTGTCCCTGGGAAAAGGCTAWGTTTCGGGATAAAAAAGCAAGGTCRTGCTTGAGAGAGTGAGATTTTGGGGCTGGTTTGTAMTGCCAGAGAGTCGACGAGAGTCGGTCTTTGAGAAATGTGCTAAAAGACGGATAAGGTTTCGAGTCATAAGATTAATTATTATTTCTTTTCCCGCAGGATGCTGTCCTGGTTCTCAAGCAACATCTTCCCAGTATATGATGTTAGCAGCAACRCCTAAAACTCCTAAACCCAAAAAGGCTCCTGCACCTGCACCTGCAACAACCAATGCCTATGCAAATCAGTGTCAAGCTCCATGCCCACAGGCATGTGCTCCTATGGGGTGCACACCAAGCTGCTGCCAAGCAGCCATGCAGCAGCAATGGAATATGATCCAACCACAAGTGATGGCAGCAATGGTCCAGCCACCCATGGCGATGAGTGGTTGTTCACCTCAGTGCAGCATGCCATCGGCGACAATGGGATGCAAACGCAGATGTCCAGCCTACTGTTGCAATAAAAGTAACTAAATCAAATAGATTTTAATTACAGAAWTTTTTGGAAGAAAAATATAAAAAAGGATATGGAGATTTTTTTGTTTGAAATATGCATCAAAATTCTAAAGTTCCAGATAAGAAAAGATCGTTTAATTGATTAATTGRTAGTTTTCCATAAACTAGCTAATATGTTTTAGACTTAATTTGATTCTTCATTTTAGTGTGTATTAGTAATATTTTCTATTCCACTGGACGTAACTCCAACAGAGATAAAAACATACTTTCATAGATATGCCTCTCTGGTGTGTACATATACTGATCACATGGCATGTAAAATTACAGCGTATAAATACACTAAAAAGGAATGCGGTTGGAATTTCCAAGCAAACCAACATGCATGTGATCAAACTCGCTCGTCACGAACGCGCACGTGACTAGGCTTGCTTTCTTAAGCTATGTATAGAATAGCCAGCTTGATATTCTAATTGTTTTAATGGCAACATCGAGTTAGAGAATAATAGTACCTTGAACCTGTTTGCATATCTTGAAAAAACGTTAGAAAAAATTGTTTTGATAGGCTTAGACCGAAACCAAGAGAAAATAAGCTCATTTAGCTCATTTCCTCTTGTCGGAACATATAATCATTTGTAACAAGTTTGTATCTTTCTGATGTTTGTAGTTTATATGTGATTGAATATATTATCTATGTAGTTGTACCATGGACATTGTAAAACTCACTTACTCTTAAATTGATAAGGAAAGAAAWGGAATAAAATGAAATTAGCAGAATATTTGTTTGCTCTTTTATTTCTCTCTRTTTTCAAGTTTAGATAAGTGAAAATCAAGCACCAATACATCATTTTATTGCAGTAACGTTAGGTCGTTGATACGCCAATCTCTCCGAAAACTCTCTTTTGAAATAACTGTATGAGAAATTACAAAACTAAAGTAGTGTTACATGTGTTTGAAAGGCCAATTTCGGATATCATACATATCGATGCTCGTCTTCAACACATTGAAAGATAGTTGTTCCTTTGTAATTRACTTATCCCGGATGTAAGACTGGGCAAGCTTACTTTTTCGCTTCGATGAAAGGCGTGGTTACCTTTCAAGATGACGTAATGAAATGTGAGGGGATCTTAATCTTTTGCTTTTAAATTGACGTTTTAATTTTTTTTGTCTTTGTTTTGCTTTGCTTTTTTAGTTTCTTTTGACTGAATGATRCTGACACGAACGGAGAAAAAGGAAACGAGCTAAAAAGAACTACCAAAATAAAATTAAACGTTGTTTACATTGTATCTTAATTCATTCGGACAGTCGCTATTCCGGTGGCYGTCCAATGCAGGCAGGTCAAAAGAATAACAAAACAATCCATTCATGCCGTTACCGCTTAATGCAGGTGGTCTATATYACTAAGAAAATGCCTCTCTTTCAAAGGAGACTTCTTAGACGTGAAATTCACGACGTTTAAAAAGCCAGGAAGACAATAAGCAGAGCGATAAATGCGCATGCCGAGGAGACTCTGTTTTAACTTAGATAAAAGCTTTAAAAAGAATTGTTACACATTTTTGGGGGAATTATTAGAGTTTTTACAGAGAAAAACCAAGTTCGCAATCTCTAGAGCCTAGCGTGTTCAAAATACTATATTTATTTATTTCTYACAATGGAATAACTCGAAACCAATAGAACTTTGACACTTTCGTTGATTTTATTTCTTCAAAAAGAAAAGAAAGTCGTAAATGAATAAAGGTCGGTGCCTTTGAATTGGAATTAGATCATAATGTTTATAGCTTCCGAAAAGTCTTGATATCAAAAATAGACGGTACATATTTCCCACATCGATGACAATGGCTTACATTGCAGTTCATTACAATGGTCGTGTTGGGACAGTTTCAATAATATTTGTTAAGTAGCYTTGTTAGGATTAGTTCGTGACTTTTCCACACCTGTGACAGTTTGGACGATTCGGAAAAAAATACAAAACTACAAGCTATATTCCATGATGTTATTACCTACCGACAAAAATATTTTGTTTTCATGTTAAAATTGTCAATTTAAAGCATAACAACTAAAAAAACATTTCCTAACAATTTTTTCAAGATTTCAAACGTACTGGGAGGTTTCATGCTTTTATGTTGAGAAAATTTAATTTACACGGTTTATAGAACTTAATGAAAAAGATTTTAATGAAATTATAATTTCTTAGTATTGTTATAATTATCAATGAATATCAAAGAATTATTATTTTTTTGTTTCTGAGTGTYTAACGTGTGACGAATACTTGTTGGGGGGGAAAGTGATTGGCCTTTTTACAAAAAACAAATTACTCATGTCTGCTGAGAGAAGTTTAAACAATTCACGAATTTCTTACGAGACAAATCAATATTGTGTGGTCAAGCTAGCAAGAAGGATCAAGGAGTTCCCACCTAAAACAGTAAGGAAAAAATAACTAGACAAAATACTCAAACTTAGCTGATTTGAATCTTATTTAATCATTTAAATCAATGCGTACGTTTAAAAAAGAGAATTGCTTTCAATAGAATCGAGATTAACCTAAAAAATCTTTTTTGTGAGATTATCCACTTAATTAATTTTTTGGAATGATATGAACGAAAAAGTTATTTATCTTTAATCATAAAGACATTGAACTAGAATTATGTTACWTTATTAAAGTATTTCTTATTTAGGTCGCCAGAAAATTTATTTTCAACACCTCCCATTTTTATTTTAATTCAAAATTATCAAATAGCATTTCCCCCCTGATGTGGATATATAGTTTATAGGCCACGACAAAAAAATTGATTTGTATCACAAAAAAGAAATTATGTAATAAAATAATTTCCTTTTAGATAAGATATGACCGAGTTTATTCAGGTTAAGACATCTTTTAGCACTATTTCTACCTTTGGTATCAAAATTTAAAGCATTCCAAATTGAAGATATTTTATCTTTGAAAAATAACGAATTACAGATAACGATTTTCTTTAAATATCGMATTATACGACTGGCTTTTAATACAACACTGTGAAAGATGGTAGTTTTTTTAAACGTTAGCTTAATTCACGTTATGAAAGTCCTCTCATGTTTTAACCATTGAAAACTATAACTTTTATTTAYAAATATCGAACAAATTCAAAAAACCACCTGTGCAAAAACTCTACTTGAATAAACTGATATGAGCAAGTGGCAATTCTAAATAAAATCTTTATAATAAAGTTAACCAAGATTAACTAGTCATTCTGTTTATAAAACAGCAAGTTTTGGATATCACAGAGTCACGRCCGTGCGATAATACACAGGAATGACAAATGTGAAGCTAAAAAACGTGAATTAAGCTTACTTTTCTGGTATAGTTTTGACTATTGTTGATTTGATGTTATCGATGCTCGTAATGTTAACCTAAAACAAAAGTTAAGTAGTAAATATTTAATGACTGCGGTGACAATATTTTCCTCTACTCCGTTCTATTTTTTTGACATTCTCACCTACGACAATAGTCTTGTTAATATTGATCTTGGAATACCTCCTTTTAAAAAATTCTTTAATCAAATTCTTTTCTTTGTATTTTTTTTATCCTTATTTTTTATTGTTATGATTCTGGTGTCTGATTTTCAACGTATTGTAGTTTTATCCCTAAGTTCCTTTACATCATGGTTTTGTATTTTATAATCTCACCTTATATTCAAAGGAACGGTTGCATGTTAAATGTTTGAATGGTAGAACAATGTGGCAAACAGATATTGTGGTGAAGAAGCGATTCTATGTCTGCGCGTCGACGCTTTGATTTTTCTTGAGTGAAAAGTACATAAATCCTGAAACATCACGATCACAAAACCGTTTTATGACGTCTTTTTAACTTTCTTTCTCTTTTTAGAAAATATGAAAATCTTAATCGCAGTTTTGTGYATTCTTCCAYTAGCATTGGGTTTCCCTGCAGCRCGTAAGTATAYAWGTTTCTTTTTTTTCWAATTAGCGTTAAAACTACACCGGTAAAGTCAYAAACAAYATAACCCAAGCCCCCTACAAGTACCTGGACARGTTTGGTGCTTTAACCTCTGTTTAATGGAAGTTCTTATAAAAGATATTTATCAAGAATAACTTGTAACATTTCTTTTTAAAAGCAAAAAAGGCACCTGCAAAGAAGGCACCTGCTGCTGCTCCATGCGGCACTCCATACGGAAACCCCTGTGCTCCAAGCTATAGTCCATGTGGTTATCCAGGATATAGTCCTTGTGCTCCTTCAGCTCCCTACATGCCACAAGTACCAGCACCACCAGTGTTCATGCCACCACCACCACCACCACCAATGCCCATCATGGCCCCACAACCAATGCCCATGCCCATGCCTATTCCAATGGCTCCACCACCACCACCAATGCCCATAATGGCCCCACAACCAATGCCAATGGCACCATGCGGCCCTTGCAGTTCATATAGCTATGCACCACCTTGTTGCAAACGAGGTTAAAAAGGAACAACCTAGTTACGGCTAATTACTATGTTTTGTATAAGGTATTACAAGATGGAACTGTGGATAGAAAGCTTTGTTTGAAAAGCTGTACTATATTATTTCGTTTATTTTGTGTGCAAAGTTGGTGTAAAAATAAACATTCTAATCTTTCGAGTCTGTCTTTGAATGAGGACAAACATTAACAAAACAGAATTCCAAACAAATACGATATTGCATTGGTCCCACGTTTTACCGGCAATGAAATGGT